ACATGGGAGACACTGGCACTGGACTGCTCATCATGGCATGCCCTCATCAGAGAAAGAGCTGTGCTCTATGAGCAAAGCAGAATTGAAGTAGTTCAAAAGAAAGGTGAGATGCACAAATTTAGAGAATCCACCCCAAATGTTCACACGGACTATTTCTGTCCGACTTGTGGCAGAGCATTCTGACCTTGTATTGGTCTGATCAGCCACAGTTGGACACACCATAATTTGACTCAAACATAATGACGTCATTGTGGTCCTCTTCAACCTAAGGACAACAACTAAGCCATTCCATCAAGGCCCTGCTCTTTACCCTTGAATCCCTTTCCCCTTTGTCCTTTCATTATTCGTGCTAATTCCTAACCCTGGGCCATCATTATATCTGCCACTTCAACTCTTACTCCCAAGCTCCTGCCTCTGAATGATCCTAAAAGTTGTGAAACTGCAGACTAGATTTCATCCACTCTAGCTCCAAATGGGTCTTTATTATGCAAGGCCACACTACTATTGATCTCTAACTCTTTCTCATACCCGACAGTAGCTATGAGGAACCTTCTGTTTATAAGGGTAATAATCATGTACAAGAAAGATTAGACTTATTTGGCTTGGTCCCAGGGGGCAGAACTGGAAACAATGGGAGGAACTGAAGAACCAAATTTAGGTCTGGACTAAGGAAAAACCTCCTAACAATTAGTGTTATTCCAAAGTGAAATGACCTACCTTGGGAGTTAACAGATTTTCCCTTCATTTGAGGCCTTCAAACAAAGACTGGGTAATGACTTTTTTAAAATTTTATTTCAAGGCAATTAGGGTTAAGTGACTTGCCCAGGGTCACACAGCTCGTAAGTATTTGAAGCCACATTTGAACTCAGGTCCTCTTGATTCCAGGGCCAGAGCTCTATCCACTGTGCCACCTAGCTGCCTTTGGGCAACAACTTGTTGAGAATATTGTAGAAGGAATTATTTTTTCAGGTATGGGTTGAACTAGATGGCCTCTGATCCCTTTCAATTCTGAAAAAAAAAAAAAGAATCTGTATATTCTGAGAACCTCTTTCCTCTAGTTCCTGATGCTGTTCCCTTGGCTGATGATTTGGTTTCTCAAGAAGACTGAGGCCATCTAACATGAGCTCCCTCATATCTCTTCCGTCACAACCTCAACGCCACTGAAAACTTCCTTCATTCCATCTTTTTCCTCCCTCTGGTACTGAAGGACGAGGGGGCCCGCACCCCCACTGTGCCCTTCATTTCATGCTGTGATATCCACCACTCTTCTTGTCTCTCATGCCAGCAACCTCAGTGTCATCTTCAGCTCTTCACTCACAGGCATTCCACACATACAGGCCTTTGCCAAATTGTGTTGTTTTTGCCTTCACAACATCTCTCACACAGGTCTCCTTTTCTCCACTCACACAGCCACCACCATAGTATAAACCCCTTCCCTGGACAATTTCAATAGCCTTCTAACTGATCTCCCAGCCTCAAGTTAATCCCCACTCCAATCCATCCAATCTTCCTCCACTCAAGATTATTTTTCTAAAGCTTACATCTGACAGTGACTCTTGCTCTAGCTGCTCCTTATCCCCTCCAGGATCAAATATAAACTCCTCTGACACTGAAAGCTTTTGTTAACCAAGCCCCTGCCTACTCTTTCAGTCTTCTTTCATTTTCCACTCCCCCATCCCCCCTCCACATATTCTGTGATCCAGCAAAACTGGACCACTTGCTGTTTCTTGCTCATAACACTCCATTTTCTGTCTCTGTGCCTTTTCATTGGCTATCTCCCAGGGGTGTACTGGAAAATGTTTAACAATGCTCTCCAAAAAGGAATAATGCATTTTTTAGTTTAATCTACACTATTAACATTTTTCTCCATTACTTTCTTTAGTCTAGACAATCAACAAAATAATAAATCAAGCCCTGATCTGTAGCATTTGTTGATTCCAAGGTATAAATGCTCACACTGAAAATTTACCAATTGATATCTGCTAGCTGGCATGAGCTGCCTCCAGCATATCTGAACCACCTTGCACTTGTCATGCTTTGCTTCCCTAACTCAGTTTCTTAGTTTCCCTGTTGTCCTTCAAGGTTCCTCTCAAATCCCACCTTCTGCAGGGGCTTTTTCTTCAGAAAAACTTTAAAAAGTTTTTTGTACAAGTAAAACAAATTTAGCCAAGATCAGAAGGAAAGCAAAAAGTTGGGGAAAAAATTATAGACAGCTTATCAGAAAAGGTATCATATCTAAAACATATAAAGAACTGTCAAATCTGAAAGAATATAAGTCATTCCCCAAGTGATAAATGGTCAAAGGATATAAACAGGCAGTTTTCCAATGAAGAAATCAAAGCAATTTATAGTCATATGAAAAAATGCTCTGAATCATTACTGATTAGAGAAATGCAAATTAAAACAACCTTAAGATCCCATTTTATACTTACCAGATTAGCTAAAATAATAGAAAGGGAAAGTGACAAATGTTGGAGGGGATATGGAAAAAATGGGACATTAATCCATTGTTGGTGGAATTGTAAAATGATCCAAACATTTTGGAGAGCAATCTAGAATTATGCCCAAAGACTTATTAAACTACTCAGCAATACCACTACTTGGTCCATTTCCAAAGACAGGGAAAAATGAAAATAACCTATAATATTCTAAAATGTATATAGCATCTCTCTTTGTGGTGGCAAAGAACTGAAAATTGCAGGGATGTCCATCAAGTGGGGAATGGTTGAAAAAGTTGTGGTATATGAGTGTGATGGAATACTACTGTGCTATAAGAAATGATGAACTCCATGATTTTAGAAAAACATGGAAGGACTTCACAAAATAATGAAGAGTGAAATGAGCAGAACCAAGAGAATATTGTATACAGTAACAACAATATTGTTTTAAGAATGACTTTGAATGAATAAATTATTTTGAATATTATAAATACCCAAATTAACTATAAAGGACATACGAAGAAAGATGCTATCTACATCCAGAGAAAGTACAGATAATTAGATGTATGTATAGAATAATTTTACATACACACACACACACACACACGAACATACACGCATACACCTATTTGGGTCTATTGGTAAGCAAGGGGGGGAGAAAAAAATTTACATGATAATTTTATATATATTTAAAAGCAATAGCAAGTTGTGCAAAGTAGATTTTCAGTTTCCTATGCAATCATCTTTTTTATTATACTATGTAATAGAAATGATTGTTTTATCCCACAAATTAAAAATAAAGTTTTTTATAAAAAGAAAAAACCCAAAAAACCCCAAAGCACTAGCACACATATAACACACACACACACACACACATATATAAATACACAGAATATGCATATCTAAAATACTTGTGAGTAAGATATATATGTGTGTATATATATATATATATATGTATACCATATGTATGTGTACACACATATAAATACATACATTCTTAAAATAGTAGTTTAAGGTAGAAAGGAAAGAGATTATTTTTCCTATTTTTAACAAACCAGAATCCTCTTTGAAGCATTATTGGTATAGAGGCTTCTGGATGGTATGGAATGCAAAACTTCCATTAACCAAGCTTATTCTCTCTTTTTATTATTCCTCTTTCACATCCTCTATGTTCTCTCCATCCCTTCCGGTGTTTTCCTTCCCTCAGAGTCTGGTGTCATTTTACTCACAAGATAAGGTTGGACCACAATAACAACTGTACTATTCAACAGCTCTCTCTTCACCAACATCTCACTTTATATAAAAAAAAGAAAGCATTAAGTGAATGCTTACTGTGTGCCCAGCCTAGGTATTCTCAGGAATAGAAGAATGAACACAGTCCCTTGTAAACAAAAAGAATGACAAAGATAAGTAATGAAAAATATACAAAACTATTATAAGATAGTATCATGGAGGAATAACTTCAAAAACTGACAGTTCAGAGCAGAAGGGAATAGAAGCCTGGGAAATTTAAAAGGCTTCAGGGGTCATGAGAACAACAAGGTGGAAGACTAGCCACTTTCTCCAATTGTCACAACCTCTCAAGCCTCTCCAAAACAGGAATTATGCATGAATGATAATGCAATTTCAACTGTGTCTATACTCTGACAGTGTTATCAAACTCAAAGAGAAATGTGGCCACTAAACCATATGTAAGGACTCTTGTGGGCTGCATAATGACTTAGGAAATCACATATTAACATTATTTGTGTTTGTATTTTTATATATTTTGTTAAGTATTTCCCAATCACATTTTAGTCTGGTTTGGGCTGCACTCAGGACTGTTGCAGGCAGTAATGCATTGCTCTAAGACACTGAGAACTCTAATGAGGTAAAACAAAAACAAAAACAAATCCAAATCCTGAACTAACAGGACAAAAAGCTAATTCCTAACCCAAAATATGCTCACTCAGCACTCCTTCCTCCACTGGCTAACACCCTTTGGCAGGAATGCACAAAGTCAACCCATGGGCTTGCAACAGAACTCAGCTATGTCTTCCACACCTCCCAGTGCTACAGAAAACCAAAGTTAAAAGTTTGCTGTTTGGGACTTCAGTGTGGCTGTGCTCTGTATTACAACAGTACTTAGCTAGAAAACTGTAGAACAGCGGGAACTGGGATATAATGCTAGTGTACAGTGATCCACAGGTAAGCCTAAGGAAAGGGGACTGGTATCCAGCTGGGGCCAGTTCTGTCCCCTAGGAGAAATTTGGAGAAGACACCAGGGCCAGTGAAATATGAATACCTTCATGTAAAAGGAGGCCAATAGAGCTTTGAGGTTCAGTCTCCAGGGAAATAGTAATCAAATAGTAAGGAGTCAGAAAGTGAACAATAAAGGAAAAAAAAAATAGGAAATTACTGAAAACCTTGGGTTAAAAAAAACTCAGTTAAAGACTTTGAATATATGTAGATAAAACAACAGGGAAAATATTAATAACAGAAGGGGAAATGGCCTCCACATCAGCTAAGCAAGGCAGACATCTATGAATAAATACTGCAAGATAGAGGAAAATGGATCAATACCTGAGAAGGCAGAGGACACTGTGAATTCCCAAGAGAGCATGGAATCACAGCCGGATGTTCCTGAATGGTTTAAAAGAGAAATAGGAGTTATGAAAACAGAATTTATGGTTAGCACAGCAAAAATAATCCATAGAGTAGAAAAACTTAAAACTGTAGTAGTAAACCTAGCCAAAGAAACAAAAGAATAACTGATAGGGAATGAAAATACACAGAAGTGAAGGACAAACTAATAACTGAAGCAAAAAGCAATAACATTAAAAGAACATGTGATTCCCATACAAGAAAAAACATTGATCTCAAAGACAGGAAATAGAGAGACAATTTAAAGGTTATAGGTCTCCCAGAAGAACAAGAAAGGCTTCAGAGAGTCTTTCAAAGGCCATTTTCTGGGTCTTCGAAAGAGGTTTCTCTTCTCCACCAAGCCAGGAAAAGAAAGGTTTCACCTGCTCCTAGTAATCTGTCAATTATTCCAAAGATTTCATAATCCTAGATATCCAGATAATTTTATGATGAAGTCTTGTTGCATTCATTAATGAGGGACATGGGGCAGGATATTGGCCTTGGTTTTGGCTTTGTGAAATTCAGACTTGGCAAGAGCTTAAGGAAGAGAGGGAGGGAAAGAAGGAGGGAATGATTTCAAATGATGAATAAACCTAGGTATTACCACACCCACTGTCATTCCTCTGTACTGCACCCACCTCCCCCCCACAACTTTTCTATGACCCTGTTTAGTTTACCAGCTAAAGTACTTGTCACTTACCTAGCAACTATTTGTCTGTTTTTAATGAGTTATATGTAGAGCTTTATTTTGTTCATTAACACTAATTGATTTCAGGGCTCTAATCTCCAGCATAATCTCCTCTTCCAGTTTCACCATAGCTGGGAAGGAGTCAGTGAAGATAACTTAGCAGTACAACTGGATTTTAAGATGGTTTATGAAGGCTTTCTCTTCAATACCTTTTGCAGGTTTTCCTTTTACTTTCATTTTCCTTTTCTTTCAATGTTAGGGCCTTCGCTATGCATTTTCCACAAAAGCTAGCTACTTCCTCTTCCTCTGTCCTTAGGTGGGTCACTCTGAACGCTACTGCCCTGACTATGGCTGACACCTTGCTGCTTGTTATCTTCAAACAGCCCCTCCTCTGCCAGCCCTGAGGGTAGGCTGGTCACCTTTCATCCACTGGAATTGAGCTTAGGGATGCAGCTCTGATAGGTACATATTTCTTCCATATATGGGTAAGACGTTTCACTTTGTAGGAGTGGCCCTTCCCTGGGCAGAAGTCCTGAGAGGTTCAGATATTTCTTTTTAAAGGAGGCAGATCATTAAGCAGAGGGAAGGTATTGTCTCAAATCTCTAAAGCTACCAAGGTTAGTCTTTGGGAAAGTTAGAGATAAATTGGCTGGGGGTTATCTTAGGTATCCCTCTGCCTCTCCTTTTGAAGCCCCATTTCTATATAAACATCTGTTTTTAGAGATAGGAAAAACCTGAGAGATCAACTAGTCCAATCCTCATATTATAGACATGAAGTTAAGTGACTCACGTATGGATATATAGAATGTACTCCTAAGAGATAAGTGACTTGCTCAAGGTCACATTGTTAAGTCTTAGGTAATAAAAGCTTTCAAAGAACCACAGAAGGTGTTGACAAATGTGTGTGTGTGTGTGTGTGTGTGTAAAAGGTATATACAAAGAGCATTCAGGATTAAAGAATTTAAGCAGTTCTAAGGTAATCTGGGAAGCCCTATGGTCCCTCCTGTGCACATAATCAAAGAAAACCCTAAGGTATGGGTGTATAAAATGCCACAGAATAGGGGCTACTAGCAGAAAGAGCCTCATGGAAGATAGATGGGGCCTCCAGGGTTATGGTGGGGATGAAGAATGTGAGTTGGCAACAACAGACGGAAACAGCAAATGCTGGACAAATGTGAGGGCTTCCCGAGGCAAGCTGATATCTACAGGACAATGCTGAAAGGTGGTGGTAGTGGTAGCCTAGGGCTGGGACAAGGGCAGTGGATGTTAGAGCAAAGGAAGAATAGACCCAAAAGATAAGGAAAGGGAATCTGACACTAGACTGGCCCTAGGACAAGTGTACGAGGTGGGGAACCGAGCAGGTGGTTCCTCAAGTTTTGCTAGGCTTATGTAATTGAATTCCAGGATGCAGGTTTGGAGAAGAATAGCACATTCTATTAGGAGAACTATGACAATTTCCTTGCTAACTGGACTAGGATGAAAGTCCCTTCTCTGTGGCTTAGACACCTTTTAATAGACATATTACCTTAGTTCCTCGGGGGCCTCAGTTGCTTGTAGGGTGCTGCATCTTTGCAAAACACAAATAAGATTTTGATGTTCCTATGAAGATTTTTGGGAGGGGGAAAAATGAGCCATGGAATGATAATTGAGTAGTCTTCATGACTGAAGTTGGATCATATGAAACCAAGGCTGATCCAATTACGTGTGTGTGTGTGTGTGTGTGTGTGTGTGTGTGTGTGTGTGTATCTATACTGTGTACAACAGTGTCAAACTCTCCTTTCTCATTTTACTAAAGCTACCCTACCCCACCAAATCACTGCCAGGGAGCTATGAATCCTCTAAACCTGAGGGTCACTTAACTTAAGCTACTCTTTCCAGGGTTACTAGTGATCTCTTAATTGCTAAATCTTGTTGGCTTTTCTCAGTTTTCATCCTTCTAGGTCTCTGTGTATCATTTGCTACTTTTGACCACATCCTCCTTTTGAATATTGTCTCCTACTTGGGTTTTATGATACTTTTCTTTCCTTTTACCCATGTGATTGGTCCTTCTCAGTCTTTTCTTCTATATTATCATCCATGTCCAATCTCCTAACAGCATTCCTCAAGGCTGTGCCTTGTTCCCTCTTCTATCCACATTTCCTCTGACTATGAGTTCATCTCCTATGACTTCAGTTATTATGTCTATGCAAATGACTCCCAACTCCATATATTCCATAACTTTACTCAACTCTACAAAGCCCTTATCTTTCTCCTGAGCTCCAGTCTCCATTTGGATGTCCTATTGGCATCTCAAACTCATTATGTCCAAAAGAGAACTCATTCTCTTTCTCCCTAAATCCATTCATCCTTCTAACTTCCCTATTTCTGTCAAGGGAAACACCATTATTCCAGTCACTCTGGTCCACAACTTTGGAATCTTCCTCAACTCCTCACTCTTCCTGACACTTTATACTCAATAAGTTTCCAAGTCTTGTTGATGCTACCTCCAGAACACCTTTATTCAAAGCCATCTCCTTCTCTTTACTTGTTCAAGCCTTCATCACTTCTCCCCTATACTACAGTAACAGTTTCCTTATTAGTCTCCTCAGACTCTCCCCACTCCAATTCACCAATCAACAAGCAATTGTAAAGCACTGGGGACATAAAGGCAAAAATGAAACAGTCCCTATGCTCCAGGAATTTACTTTCTATTACTCCAGATAGCTGGCAAATTGACAATCCTGGAGGGAAGGGAATAAGCATTTATGTAGCACTATGTGCCAGGCACTATGCTAAGGACTTTTGCAAATTTTATCTCATTTGATCCTTCCATCAACCCTTGTGAGGCAGGTGCTATTATTACCCCCATTTTTACAGCTGAAGAAATGGAGGCAAACAGACGTTACATTACTTGCCCAGGGCCACACAGTTAGTAACTGTCTGAGGCTGGATTTGAACTCAGGTCTTCTGACTCCAGGCCTAGAGCTCTATCCACCGGACCATGAGCTGCCTCTAAACACAAGAACTAAAGCAAAAGTCTGACCATATCATTTCCTGCTTAAGAAGCTTAAGAAGTTTCAATGTTTTCCTGTTATGTAAAAGATAAATTCCTCTGGCATTTTAAGCTTTTTTCAGTCTGGTTTCATTCTATCTTTCCAGGCTATATTCTTTTCTTTTCATATACTCTGTTTTCCAGCCAAACTTACCTACTTGTATCCCATACATGAAGGAAGAAAGGAAGGAAGGTATAGTGCTGGACCTTGACTTAGGAAGACTTGAGTTCAAATCTAGCTTCAGACACATAAGTTCTAGCTATGTGACCCTGGGCAAGTCCTTTGACCTCTGTCTGCCTCAGTTTCTTCATCTGTAAAACAGGAATACTAATAGCACCTACCTCCCAGGATTGTTGTGAGGATAAAATGCGATATTTATAAAGCATTTTGCAAACCTTAAAGCACTATATAACTTCTAGCTTTTATTATTATTACTATTCTAAACCTTCCTGCCACCATCCCTCAGGAACCTATGCCTCTTTGAAAGACATTTTATTTATCTTCATCAACCTGTCCAAGTCCTTGCTGCCGCCATCTACTGACCTCCAGATCCTTCTCCTTTTTTCCCTCATTAATTCATCACTCAGTTCACAGACTCATTCTTTGCTCTCATTCTTGAGGATTTTGATTCTTCTAAAATCTCTTATCAACTATCATGCTTTGAACAGCATCTATTCTACACTTTTTTCACTCCTCCAAGTCTAAATGCCACCCCTCACCCTTCTTCTTCTCCCTGACCCCCAGTAAATGACCTTGCCTTCTATTTTACTGAGGAAATTGAGGCCATCCATCATTAACTCCTCCAACTCCCATCTCCACACCTCAGAACCTTTCTATATCTTCACCTTTCCTCCGTTCCTCAGTTCCAGTCCCATAGGATGAGGTAGTCCTTCTCCTTGACAAGATCAATCCCTCTACTTTTGCCCATGATTCCATTCTTTACTGCCTCCTTTTGCCGCTTGCTTCATTAATCATCCCCCAGCTTCGTTACTTTCTATTTCCATTTCTATCTCCAACAGCTATAGCCATTCTAAGGTCTCTTCTATCCTTTCTATTTTATTTTAAATTTTTTTTCTCTTCTATCCTTAAAAAAAACTTCCTTTGACCATGCCATTCACCTATACCTCATTTTCTTTTCAAAATCTTAGGAAGAATGACCTAGACTTGCTATTTCTATTTCCTTGTTGCCTTCTCACTTCTCATCCCTGTGCAACCTGGCTTTTCACCCCACTCCTTTATGAAAATCCCCTTTTCAGTGGTTGCCAATTATTAATTAATAA